CTCTCTCTCTCTCTCACACACACACACACACACACACACACACACACACACACACAAACACAAAAACACACACTTCCCTACTTTTCTATATATCTCCTTATTTTTCAACGGACGGATCAGAAGCATTATGTTCTGAATCTGCCTCCTTGTAAAACGAGTACCCATATTGACTGTTTACGTATGTATTCTCTCACGAAAGACTGACTTGCTGCCATTGACAACAGTAATTGTTTCCATGTCAAGTTACAATACCTCATGAGATACCGGACAATCATTTATTAGAAGAGACGGGCCTTTAGATTAACGTTCGTTTCCAATTGGACCGAGCCATATTGAAGGGAACTTTGAAGACATCCCACGCAACATAAGCTCAAGAACGCCTTATTGGTGAGTCGAAACTTGACCAACCTCACCATAGCCCAACATGATTCTAACGGATTGCAGTGATTCCTTCCACCCCCTCCCTTTGTCCCCCAGCCATATTATCACTTGAAAAACCTGTTAGAAAAGGCCAACAAAAATCGTGTCTGAATTTCCACTCTCCACGGCTCAATCGCAAGATACGTCTGACCTAAGTTCAACCTTTGTAGGAGTTAACAGGATTAAAATTCTTTTTTGTAGGCAACCATTGTGATCGTTGTCTTGGCACGAGCAGCAGGCCCATGTATCAAATTCTACGTTTAGCTTAAAGCTTCTGTCAGACACCACCTTTTCACCAAGAACAGCAAACAAGCAGTACAGAAAGGGAGGCGAAATGTAATCACATTCAATGTACGTAAGAGCAAAATCCAAGCAATTGAGAGACGGGGTGTAGATGTGTCCTCGACCGGCGGGTACTTCGGTATTTACACAGCAACAAAAGCTGAAGCAGAGCTGCATTTCGTCGGTCTATTCGGGAATGAGGAGAAAAGAAATGTGGCAAATGGCAGGAAAAACTATTTAAAAATCTAAATACAATGAGCAGGTAGGATACATGATAGACGCAAGCAGTAACAAAGTCTTCACGGTATTTGGTTTCTTTTGTAAAGATAAAGGCACATCCAAAAATAACCACGTGCCGTCTTTTTCTCGTGCTGCAAACGACAAAGGGTGCATAATATTTGAGCAGGACCATCGTGAGCTGAATGGTGAGGAAACATTCCTGCACCTTGTACTGTCAAAACTATTCAACAAAACCGGGATAGGTAGAACCCGATATAAAGCAAACGGCTGTGTTTGGGTAACGGCACTTCAAGTAAAAAAAAAAAAGTGAAATAACGGTGACATCGTGAGAAAAAAGTGGTGGTGGAAGGGAGGGGGTGGGGTGGTGGATGGAAATTACCTCAACACTGTAAAGTGCGACTGGGTTACCCAAGAAAGATTTTCAAATCTAAATTGTTGACAAAGCGAGGCTAAGTACCGACTGCGGACAGTTCCTCAGCTCCTCAATTTATCCGCCCACTTTCGACATTTTTTCTTCTGATCAGCACCATCTGAAACACCGCTGGTTCTCCGCTACAACGGGCGGCCTTACAGATAAGTGCATTCACACCCTTTGCCAGCTGTGCCCGCCAAAGCCAACACCTGCACAACGGTCAAATCAACATTGGCCACGTCTTCTGGAGGTTATCTTGAGACAGTTGTTTCCAAATGTGGATGCAACAGAGTCAGGGGTTTCAAACTGCTTTCTTTGTAGGCAGATCTGTACGCCTTTGTACGAGGATAAAGACACACAGGCGTAGACTTCAGGCCAAAGATTCGAGCGTTTATCTTACACTCCTTTCATTTTTAAGTGCGAGAAATAGTTCAAAATGTATTTTTCAGCCTTCTATTGATCAAACAAAAACGTGACTTGGGTTAGGGAAAAACTTGAATACTGTGAAAGTAAATTCCATTTTTAAAGCAAACGTCAACGGACAAGGAAAAAGAAAGTAAACAGGATTAGCCCTAAGCCAGCTAAAAAAATGTGGGGGAAATAAATCCATCTATTCATTCATCAACTCATCAACTCACCCTTTCTTGTATCATTTATTTTGGTTGTATGCTACCTCACAACTATCATTTTGTCTGTATCAGTATCACACAGCTTTAGCGCCCACCAAGCCTACTGGATCAGATAAATATATTGACAACTGAGTTCCCGAGCTTTTAAAGCTGTCCTGCTCAGGATAGTATCGATAAAAAGACAATAAGTCATAATGTCAAGCCAAAGTGAAGAACTTTTATTATGTATAGAAATCTAACAGTTTCTGGTTTTGAATAAGAATACGATCTTTATATCGAATAGTATATCTTTTTAAAAATCAGCAGTACCTGTGTTCCAAGCAGATCATTAAAGCAGAACCATATAAATACGTGTTTTAATGACAGCTTGCACGTAGCCAGATTTTCATGATGACATAATGTGTGCGAGGACGACAGAATGACGTGGATAAGAAGCTACATAGTATGTGCCGTCTCATTAAATTAAAGATACAAAAAAAAACTGCCTCTAAACATTTATAGTCTCGGACAAAAGCCCTAAATAAAGCAAAGCTAAGTTAAAGCGAGCATTGTCTTGGAAAAGAGAACACTTCTTTCACGAAATTTATTTTGCACTCACGGATTTCCAGTATAGATATGTCAAACCACCCACAATTTTTACAAAGACTTTGAACAGGAATTCTTAATACTTGAACTGAATTATCAGAAAATAATACTGAGATTGACGTTAAGGACATGCAACTTGAAGTCTTACTTCAAAGAGTGTTGTGCCTCTGTATCTTTCAGGGGGAACTTGAAAACATTTTTTTAAAGAGGGTGAGAGGGTGGAAAAAATAATGTTGTTTCTGGACAAACTATTTTTTCTGCGCTTCTTGATAAGAGCAACAAATTCACAAAATTTGGTATGATGAGCTTTTTGACATCTGTAAAAACGACTCATGTGTTTGATTTTATTTTTAAAAGACAAGAAGTAGAATAAATTTGTTTTAGAAAGCTTTAAGAGATCTTTGAAATTTTGCGTTAACATAAATTTCTGGTATAAATGTTTTCAATAGTTGAAAAACAATTCTACGTTTAATATGGAGAAAAATGCTGTTTAAAAAGAACGATACAATTAACTATAGATAATCACGGTAAAATCGATCCTAATAGCCAGAAATACTTCACTAGTTTTCTGGTTTCATCAAATAATAGACCAACAACCAACCCGCCAGCCAAGATAATAGACAGGCAATCAGACATAATATAGACCGGTTAACAAATAATTTAACTAGCATTCACAATCCCCCTGTTACCCCCACTAAGCCATACAAGTCCTATTTAGTGCACATGCGATTGTGTTGTCTGGTCAGCGAGTGTCCACTTTAACTAGGCTGACCCTGCGGTGGCTCATGCCAGAGTCAGATCTGGGTAGAGGAGGCATCCTTGATCTGCGGTCGCTGGGAGCCGAAGGGGCCATGTAGGGGTGTTTTGTCCATGGCTGTGGGAAAAATGAATGCATCTCTTAAAACTTGCGTCTAAGTACGTTTCCGGGCCGGCAATATGTATTTGCAAAACGTGAGCTCTTCAAAAGGTGAAGCGATACCGATCATGAAAGATAACCATCTTTACATTGACCCCTGCTAAGGCATTTTTATTTCAGTTTCCATCATCACCCCACCCCTCCCGTTCTTTTAAACATTGCTAAAACAATTCCCTGAAAATAATCATAACTGTTCTCCAATGCCCTTCTGAATTTAATCATGTCGTATGTACTACATTTCAAAGAAAAGATTGTTGCATGGACATCACACGTTTGTGAAAAAGAGAGTAGAGCAACTGTTTTGAATTATCATCTATTAATTTAAAATCTGAGTTTTTGTTTGACAAGTTCTAACAATTTTAGCGAGTATATTTTATGGGAAGAATATGGGGAACCGGAAATGCAAAGAGAAAGTGAGACAGAAAGAGAGAGAGAGAGAGAGAGAGAGAGAGAGAGAGAGAGAGAGAGAGAGAGAGAGAGAAGGAGGGAGGGGGGGGGAGAAGGAAAAAGAAAGACAGAGAAATGGTAGGTGCTGGAGAGGAAAAGAAGGATAGTGAGGGAAAAAGAGTGAGGGAGCTAAAGAAACGAGGAAGGGTAGGTGAAAAAGAACAGAAGGGGGAGAGAAAGAGAGAGAGAGACAGAGAGAGACACATAGAGACAAAGACAGGGATAGAGACAGGGACAGAGAGAGAATGAGATAAGAAATAAACACATAATAAACGTGTTTCGTTCAAAGAAAAAACCACAACACTCACAAAGTTCCACAAATTATGACAGACCTGTGGAAGGCCCGCGCTCCCGTCCTCGTTATCCCGGTAGAGAGCAGACAGGGACTGCAGCAGTTTGTCGATCCGGCCGGGGAAGTGCTGCATGTGGAGACTCATCCTGCGGTTGATGTCTCGCAGATAGCGCTGCTTCTCACTCCCAGGGCCCTCCGACTCTTCCACCTCCAAGTCACTGTTCATATCTGAGGATAAATTGGGGCGCTTTTGTGTCCTTATACATGTACGTGCATATTTGAACCAGCCCAAGATGACCATCCAGCGTTCAGTGGAAAAAAGGTCATGTTAGACAAGTGGTCTTCTTGGATAGTGACAAACTGATGTTATATTTTTTTAACGCAAGGAGGTAGGGGGACAGTAGTCATTTGTATAAATGATTGCCTTGGACAGGTCGCTGTAAAAGCATGTTCGCCTACACTCTAAACAAAATACGAATTGTTCATGTCTATATTTGAAGCCCTTGCAGGCCACACACAGGAAGCAAGACGGAGAGCCCGTCAGGGAAAGAGACTAGAAGACAACATTGCAGGATGAATAACACTCTGCAGACCGCCCCCTCTGCCCCCCCCCCCCCCCGCCCCCGAAAAAAATCAAACACAAAAACAAAATAAAGACCAAACAAACAAACAAACAAACAAATACGCATACAAACAACATAAAAAACTAAAATAAGGAAACAAAAAACCCCCACAAAAAAACAACAAAAAAAACAACAAAAACAACGAGAAGTGAAGTAAGCGGGTTTCAAAGAGATCTTTTGCATTGACAGTACTGTCAGAATACGGGCCAAAGTGAGTGTGATACACAAGTTGTACAGGCCAGCGTCTGTGGTGTAGCGGGTAGGTGCTTCGCTGACGCACAAATGAAACCCGAGTGCGATACTTGTGCGGAGAGAATGTTTTATCCAGCATTACGGTCCGTCTGCTGGGATGTTGTATCCCTCTCAGCCTGGGTTGGCCCTGACAGCCATGGCCGAAGCCAGCTTCCTAAAGGATCTCAATAAGGTCCGTGGGTGCGTGAAACGTTTACATTACAAATACTCACAAGTTATTTGAGTGGTATCGTGGTGAAATCAGGCACTCGACAAAATAATGAAATCGAAGAAACACAATTTGTTTTCCGCCCTTTGGCCATTCTTTTTTCTCAACACATTTCCTGTCAGTAAAAAACACATGACCGTGTGGATTTTCTGAAAAGGTTGATCAAATGCAGAAAAAGTAAATTTACTGTTTCCTAGGACACTCAAGCTTTGGAAGTCTCGAAACGTTGGCGACATTTTCAAGATAATTTTACCCCTGACAACAAGCGATCCCCACCTTCATCATTCACAAATATTTTGACTTCTATTCATATACGTGTAGATAGGCATTTTTACATCAAATGTAAGACAAATGAATTAGCGTTAAGATCATACCAATAGCTCTAAAAAAATGACAAGTGCCTGATTCATCGTGTTGTGACACATTTCGGTTATTCTTTTAAAGAAAGAGAACACGTGACAGTGGCTTTGCCCCTTACTCATCCCACATTCAAGACGTGTGACTTCTCTCAAAGAAAGACGACCATTTGCCGTAAATGTAAATTGACTGAAGCTGTGATACCTCGCTTCGAGAGAGAATGAGCAATGTGTAATAATTAGGTAATTTTTACGGGAATTAGTGATACGGTGCGGGAGGAAAGGGGGGGGGGCAGAGACTGACAAACAGGCAGACAGACAGACAATCAGACACGTACATATACAAATAGACGGACAGACAAACAAACAAAAATCGCACCGTCATTGAGGTAACCCTGCACGCCCATAGTAGTCCGAGGGTTCAGTGTTGACGGTGTGACGCCCAGCCCCGTCCACTTCTTGAAGCGGCTCATCATAAACTCCAGGATCTCATACTCGTTGTTTTGTTTCGTCAAGTCATTGCGAACCGTAGTGAACGTGTCGTTCAAGATGGAGATGAACATGTTCACGATGATGAACGTCACCGAAACCACGTAGAGCAAAACGAAGATCTGTACGATAGAGATAAAAAAAAGTGTCGTATGATGTGGTATAGTATGGTGTGATTTTAGAGTGCCATAGCTTTCTAGTCATCATCATCATCATCATCATCATCATCATCATCATCATCATCATCATCATCCAGTGCCAGATCTGCGACAGACATCGGCGATCATGGTTCTCCATTCATTCCTTTGCTCGGATGCTCTAAAAAAAAAAGCTACGTTTCCCTGATCTTTCCCTGTTACCCATTTGTTTAGGTTCCTCAAGTAGATTGTTCTGGGCCTTACCCTGCCTCGTTTGCCTTCAATTTTGCCAGTGAGAGCTAGATGTTCAAACCCTTAAGTCTATTCAGGTGTCCCAAAAACTGCTTTTGTCGTTTCCTGGTTCATCCCAGCAAAAATATCGAGAAACTCGCAGCAACAAAAATTATGTCCTCCCCACTAAAGAATCAACTAGAGTCTCCTGCGTGTGACTGCGAAACCTGACCGCTACCATAGACGTCGGTCGGGAGAGATAGAAAACAGCTGTTGTCTTGTAGGATGGCGCTAAATGATGTGAGTAGTTTGGCGTGTAAAAACATGATCATAGTTTCTTATACGATTTCGGCTGTTCTAAAATTAACTTTACACGCTGCATCCTTATTTATGATCTAACTGCGTTAACAGGTACGTCATTTTCTTATGGTATACATACACATACATACATATACATATATAGACACATAAATATATATGCACAACATAAACGCTGGCACACACTACCTCACCCTCCCCAACACACTCACATACACAGCACGATGTGTACGCCCTTATCGTACCTGTGTCAGGACAGGTTCCGCTAAAATCATAACGTAAATGTTGAACTTGCCCATCATCATGAGCACGGACGCCACCAGAGACTCGATGAAGGAAGAATACTTCTCGTCCACGGTCATGTATGTCAGGAAGAACAGTTGGCAGAACGCCAAGAATACAATCCAGAAGATGATGCTGGAGCGAAAAGGAAAAGAAACAAAATAGCAACTCTCAGAAATTAGACAGAGTTGTCATTTTTTATATGGGAAACGAGGTGCCGGCGTGCCTTTAGCACGAACATTCAGAGCTGAGAGTATATTATAATAGGCCATCATGGCTTTTTACATAATACGAGGGGCATACCAAACGTTTTTTACCTGACCATGAAGGAATAAAGGTAGAAAACTGACATTTGGTACTAAGCTTAGTCTTTCTTTATGTAATCACCTCCCTGAGTTATATATGTTTGCCATTTGTGTATAACCTTGAAAAGACCCTGAGAATAGAAGACCCTCTCTATGTCAGAAAACCATTCCTCTACCGCTTCTTTGACCTCATCATCACTTTTTTAGGTGTCCATATACGGAATGCATTTCCGTAAAAATATCCTGTAGTTGCTTGCCGTGCAAGAACAAATACTTCATTACTGTCCTGCACTCAATTTTCTCCCTTTTTAATGTTGAAACTGGTGAACAACATACCCTCTTTCACTTATAGTGCGCTGTTGATAAAACCAGTTATCTGAAATTCCTCAAAATTTACAAGCATTCTGGGAAGATAATTGTTGGCTTTCACACCAAATTTCAGCTTTCTGCCTTTGTTCCTTCATGGTCAGGTAAA